GGATGACTTTAACCCTAACTTCGTATATGCTGACCATACCGCCGAGCCGAGTTATCTGAGAAACATCTGCGGATAATTAAATTTTCAGAAGAATGCTCATATGTTTTGCCGCTGCGAAAGTTTGGTCCGAATTATTGAGCATCGTTTTTTTTTTAATCAGCTGTTTAACGATCGCAGGTTTAAATCAGTTAGTTAGGATCATACAGCGATGACGCTCTGGACACGAAATGGCTGGTGTGACGTCACACGAGCGCTTATAACGTTACCAATGGTTGTCCTCACTTGGTTTATAGTCACTTTGACCTGAGCGTGCTGACAAACGAGTCACGCCCGCTTCCCACTCTTGCGAGTAGAAACAGGTATAATAAAGTCACGTTTCCTGGTACCATGATGTTTTATTGCAACTTTGAACTTCTTACTGTTTTTAACTTCAAATATTACCAAATATAACTACAATTTTATTGATCATGCACCTGATTGAACACCGCGACTTCTTGCGCTTTTGCGCAACAACACGTCTGCAGAAACTACCATAATTTCCTTAAAAACGTACTGAGGCGGAACTTTGCATACGCATATTTCCTGTGCAATTGATTTGAGTACTTTAGAGACTATTTGCATTGATTCTAAGAAAACGTCATTCAGGCATTTGAATCTATTAAATATCAATTTCTTATATTCTGGAATATCATCTGTTCGTCAAGCGGAAATAATGATTTGTCATTCCCTTACAATCAAGATGATAATTAAATAATATCGGAAGATCAGAAAATCGGCTTTTTTGAAAATCGGCGTGTCGATATCGGATCTGTATCGGACAAGTGGGATACAGCATTTTTGATACACCCCGATCAACTGCCTGGGAATAAAACGATACAATGTGACACAGGTAGTATGACATTACATATACAAAACACGAAGAGGTGATAGTCATTTTATTAACGTCACGTAAACTGGGACATCTCCTTCTTACTTATATGAATCTTTGTAGTAAATTTTTCAAATCGTATTACAAAAATAAGAAATAACTGGCCTAAGACACACTCTTGACAATTTTATCGCATATATAGTAAATACATGATTGGATTTTGTGGTACTGGTAAACACATTACTGTAGCTCTAATGGCGCCTTCTCACCTAATACACTGCCCTGGTGTATTTATTGGTTCTGGTCCAAAATAGGAATCACATATTAAGCATATGGTGAAAAAATATTAATTCCTCGGTATCCCAAACTCAATACGATGAGGACAAGAACTTTAAATTTGAGGAGAAACATGAAACAGCCCAAAGACACGCCATTTGTGAGGTCCCTCTTTAACAATGACGCCACACGTAATATATGTTGGCGTCATAATAGGCTTTTCGCGTTTTTGTTAAATGTAGTATGGCGCCATAAAATAGCAAATCGATTAAACTACGACATTTCGAAGAATGGGAAACTACGATTGCTCATCAACCAATTAGATTGGATAGTAGATTAAGACTCAAGGCTATAATAAAACGCCATGGTACCGAGTATAATGTTTTCAAATTTAGACAAATTCATATATTCAACCGTATTTAATTTTCAATATTCAAAGCGGTAATTAATTTTTTTTTTTTATTCATTATAGATTTTGATTTATGCAAATACAAAAAACTTTGCACTGCAAATAATTTAAACGTATATCATTAAAAAAAATAACAGAGGTCAGAGCCGGATTCACTGTTAAACAAGGTAGGAATAAAGAAGCCCTGCGGCCCTATACAGTACCCTGGTGCCATGGCGCGGCCTTGAATTTCTCAACCTCACAAAAGGTATAGCTCAGGGCGTGCTTTAGGCATCCCGTCAAATTTTGAGATTCTATCTTCATCGTATTGAGTTTGCAAGTGGCATCGACGAATCTTTATTTTGTCACCATGGGCCAGAACCACTGATTTGTATAATATCACCTGTTCTGATTTGATGCCAATTTTGCAAATTCAGCGTAATATATGAGACGAAAAAGTGCTCTAAACTTGGATCATTGGAGCTACAGTAATCTGTATACCAGTACCCCAGAATCCAATAACGCATTTCCTATATTATATATGTGATAGAATTTTCAAGACATTTTTCTTTGAGATAGTTATTTTTTATTTTTTAATGTGGTTTTCAAATTCTGAGAGTTATGTAGGTAAGAAAGTGTAGTCATAATTTACGTTTTATATATTTACTATTACCTGTCCTAGGTTATTCAATCTCTCAAAAAACAAAAAATTCTTCCCAATTTCCGAGTTTTTTTCATTTCGCCATAAACTGAAATATTGCATCATTCGAAATTTTGTTTTTCTTTTACTCAGTAAGAACTAGAATATTATATTGTAAGTGATTTTCCTAGAATTTTAATAGCCACTGACATTAGAGTAGAATGTAGATGCTGCGACTCCGAGTAGGTTTGCGTTTGACGAAAGTAAGACAAATGGCTCTTTCAGTGCTAAAGGTTGCCTGCCGACCGTGGTAGACGATCGTCACGAAACTCACATATTAATAACGCACACGTTTATTTCATCATATACGTGATAACATTTTCAGCGGCTAATATTTCCTACCAGAAATAATAAAATTGATAAACAATTGCAATTTTACAGATACATGATATCACCATAAAATCGCCAGATTTATTTGCGTGTAATACTCATTAGTCATTATGAAATTTTCATCATTTCGATCATTCGTATATACGAACTTATCTGTGAGCATCTGACTCAAAACTACAAACGGCTATGAACATATTATACAGCCCATAGCATCTTTTCTATTCCAGCTTCATGTCTTCAAAATCGACCTAGTCAGCTGTTAATTTCATAATGTCCAACCCCAGTACATTCATATTGAGTTATTGAGTTACATAATTGTTATCAACTAATAGGTATATACATACGAGTGTCCAAATAAACCAGGGGTCTCCAACTCAAAACATGTCGCGGGCCACTTTTTGAAATTTATTGACGACGCGGGCCGCAAACCAACAAATTAGGTACACATGAAAAAAAAAATCTGAATATATTTGTTGAAATTGCACTTGAATCTTTCACCAAACGAGACATTAAAAAGGGGTCACCAAACTTTTTTGACCGCGGGCCGGACATGACTCAAACTGGGTTGAAACGAGCCGGACAAATATTTTTGTCAATGCAATACAATAAATTCACAAAAATTGGGAAATTCATTCAATTTATTCAACAATATATATTCTACATTTCTGAAGACTTGAATATTAAATTCTATATATATCGCATAATACAGATCGAGAACATCCTAGGAAAACAAATATACAAGATTTCTATATATAGACGACAATCCTGAGTTTAGCTGTCATCAAAACGTTGCACGACTACGGACTGCTTGCTGTAGCATGGAATTTCGACATAATTTAAATAAAATAAACAACTATTTCCTGGTATTTGATTTTTATTCATTTGCGCAAAAATTTCCCAACATTCGGAGCTTTTAAAATTACGCTCAAGTTATACGTGGTGCAAATTAATGATATTGGCTATGGACACCAATAAAATTTATGTGGACGTGTGTATTTCTTTCCCAACTTGATACGTACCAATTTTTATGAAGTTTGTACAATCAGAACATCGTTAATTATTACCCACAATGAACCACTGTCAAACTAACATGCACAACTCCAGCGTTTATTTGCGACGACCTTTCGGCGGTAAGACGTAAACAGTCTTGTCGAATGCACGCGCCACCAGTGCATCTTTCGCAGAAAACGTTGCCTCCCGATGGAGAATTTAGCCTATTTTGTCACAGCTATTTCTTAGACTAATTTTTCATTACTACTATTAAAACTACAACTCCTAAAGAGGCAAATGATGATTGACTTATTTGATTCATACTTAAATTTCCCAAACACAACCAGAAACTAACGAATAGCATTGAAATGCGAAAAGGCCTTTTATTACGTCACTTTTTTGCATCTTGCTGATTGGCCAATGTTACGAAATAAACAAGGAAGACGATGCTCGAGAAAATATTTCTTGGGAAAATATTTGGCCATTTTTGCGTGTTATTGCGGGCCGGATAAAATGACGATGCGGGCCGGATCCGGCCCGCGGGCCGTAGTTTGGTGACCCCTGCATTAAACATAATCATTTAGTTGTGGTGGACATTTGGCACCATTTTGTAGAGATGAGAGACTCGATTTAGCGTTGGTTTACTAGTATTGAGACAGCATACAAACTCTTGTTCGTTAGTCGTGTGCGAAAGGCTGATTTGTTAACTTTCATTGTTGAAAAAATGCTGCTGTTACTTCACAAGCCTTCAACATACACTCTTTATTAAAGCTTCCTTCAACAAAAAAACCGACGATTTTGAAATCATCTCACTTATGGCAAAGATTGCTTTCACCGAAGCTTCACAAAGTTCTATTCGTCCAAGAAAAAAATTCTTTGTTCCAAAAGTGAAAATTTTAATTGCAATACGTATCCCTTTCGTGACGAATTGTTTCAGTATAGACATGGTATTTTCCCCTGTTTGATGAGTCGTAATATCGCCGGATGTTGTATTTCTTTTGAACTGCAATAATTGCACAACGCATGAGACACTGAACCCTGATATCATAATTTCACAATATTCTGTGCTTTTCCAAACATTTACACTTCTCGAGTTTTGTGTATGGGTTTACTACTTAAAAAAAGTTTATAATATTCTAGTTTTTCGTTACCGGAACACATACAGAATTAATGATTCATAACCGTACACTTCAATGATCTGACCGAAACTTGTTTATTTCGTCCTAATAAAAGCGCGGAATTAAATTGAATTTACAATTTATTTGTCAAAACAGAATAAAATACGAACACGAAAAATTCATAGTTAACGTCATACTAATTTAGTTTATTCTGAAAATCTTAACCATGCCTGGCGGGCCGCATGCGGGCCGCGTGTTAAAGATCCCTGAATTAAACTGATGTCTAAACTCTACCTACACCGACAAACTCGACAAAAATAAATCTATCGGTAGAATTACATGTTCAATTGTATTCAATATTTCAAATCTTAATGAACGGCTTTGTTATACGTACATATGAATCTCGAATCATTTTATTCGCCTTAAATACAAGCAAGATGAACGATATTACAAGAAGAGGAAATTAATAAATAACATCATGTATTCTCAGAATCTGCGTTGTTATCTGCATCACGTATGAGATGAGAAATTTGAAGGTTATATCACAGATAGATGCAACAGATGTGTGAATATGTAAAAGTATTTGGTTTTTACTTGTTCATATTGAAAACCTAATGTGTTACAAAAATTCAAGAAAATCATTATATTGTTGAAGGATACTTGAGATCCCTGTGGATTTTAAGACTTAGTTACACTGAACGCGTTGTCCTGTACGTTCATCGATCCAATATGCCATGCAGGATCCACATCTTGTTACGCGACATCTTGCGTTGGGATTTCCGCGACACACCAATGGCCTGCCATAGATGTCAGAACAAATGTTGGCAAAACAAGAACTGTATTCTTGCACACCTCCGTCGCACCGACCTACAAAAAATAAAGACTGTTGCATAAAAAAACTACAGTATAATAAGGTGCAAGAATGTGGAAGCGCTATAAATGGGTCATCCAAATGTCAATCGTAGACAAGATATTCAATCATTTGCATAACATCGATGAATATTATTTGTACTCTTGAGTTTTCATGACAACTAGTATAAATAATTTTCTAGTTTACTTACAATACTGCGTAATCATCTGATTGGTGTATTGGTCATAAAAATGCACATCACATTGTCCTGGGATCGGTTGACATCTTGCGCCCACATTTTTGGGACAAACTAGTTGACTGCATAGGTTCGGTGGGCAATAAGGTGCATATGGTGGAGAAACTACGGGAGTTTGACGCCCACCGTTTGACATGGCCAGAATGGCAAGTAACATAGGATCTAATGTCTTGCGGGGAGGTGAATCTGTGAAAAATATTTAATAACATATTTTAGAAAATTAAGAATTCAAATTAGGCACAAAAATATAAAAAATAAAATATTTTTGACGTTTTAAAAAAAGATTAAATACTGCAGAATATCGTTTAGTTTTGTTGCACCAACACAACATTTTCACCTGGGGGTACGCATTGAGTTCCGCATCCTGTTGAACAGCAGATATTATCTCCTTCGCAATCTTTATTTTCTGCACATGTTGGATTTAATTCAAGGCATGTATCGCCAGTAACTTCCGGAAACTCGCATTGTTCATCGAGCAATGCTAGATTTTTTAATAAAAAAAATCGATTACAATTATCAAAACACTTGGTCAGGAGCTTGATTCGGTTTCCCTCTTTATTCCATATTTTTTTTATGATTTGATTATATACTTCTCGAAACTAAGGATTGAGCCGTCTCATATAACAAAACACTATTTCAAACTCTTTTGTTTCCAAATTCAAGTTTTTTAACTGAAACAGTAATGTTTCTTCAAAACACATTTTTCTTGACAGACAAAGTACTCACCTGTTTCACACATGGTACCGACATATCCTTGTGGGCATAAGCAACTGAAACCATCGTTAGAGTCGTCATTTATGCATAGTTTATTCTGGTCCGTACATGTTTTCAGTTCTACGGCATTTTCACATCCTGGTTATGATAGAATTAAAAAATAATTCTGAAAACAACTTTTATATAATAAAACACAACTTTACAAGTATTTAGTGAGTATATAATCTGAATATTTTATTTTACTTTAGATTATCATGCCTTATTAATGTTTTGAATTGATGTTTGGTTTTTTCAATTAACAATAGAGCAATGCATCAAATATAGGGAAACACGAAAGTCTTCATCACACACAACTTCAACAGGAAAAATAATTTCCATAGAGCATACGGAAATTTTTCAAATAGATAAAAGTAATATCCTTCTATAGAGAACAACAATCTTTAATTTACCTGAAATTAAAAAAATGATTCATAGTTTCACGTTGTGTCGTATACCCATTTTAAGCAATATTGCCCTGTTCTAGTATTTATAAAATCTCACCTAACGGTAAGCAAGTGGTCGAACAGGCGTCCGGTGCTACACAGCATATGTGTTTTGATGGACAATCGCCCTGTTCTATGCATTCTTCAGTGTTAGGACTTTCACAAACATCAATGATATCATTCGGTAATGGACATCGTTCATCTATATCTTTGTCTATGTGAAACAATTTGTGATGGAAAAAAATTAGCTGGAATTGGCCCCTTCAGAAAAAAATCATATTAATTCAATATAATGATATAACAAGAATAATATATATATATGTGTGTGTGTGTAAAAATAATCCAACCATAATAAGTAACAGGGTTTCGTTCGCAGCCATGTATAGCACAAAACGATATCGACTTCTGGAGATATAAAACATTGAATATGTGATTTTTGAAAGGTAAAATTTTCAATTTTTCAATAGTTCCAATACTCACGTTCCATGCAATCCTCGCCTCCAAATCCTAACGCGCACGTGCACATATATTCTTCCACATCAATTTTAAAACATACCTGATTCGCTTTACAATCATCTGTTGTTGTACACTTAAGTTCTGAAATTTGAGAATTTGAATATTGAGCGTATAAATGTGGCAATGTACTGACATTCATTTTTTGATACATTTTTTAAATCAATCAAAATATCAAATATATTGGGTACATTGGTATATTAGTTTTTCTCAATGAACTGTTCTTGCAAACAATTATTGCCATAAAAATGGTATAAATGAATAGTTACATATACGTAGTGGTCTTTTAAAAATACAAGTTACAACACGACTGGACCTTCGTGATTGCGGCCCTTTTTTAAACGATATTATATATTTGTTTGCGAAGTTAGATCATATATTAATGAGAACGGCAACGCTGGCATGTATTTATTTACATCTCACAACATATTTCATAATTAAATTATTTTCGTGTCAACCTGTACCGGTAATTTTGTTCATCCGCGGTCGTCATTTAGTGCATGCTTGAGGCAATATTAATTTTTTTCTGATTTTAATAATACTGACGAAAACTATTTGGTAACGCCCCTTTTATTTTTTATTGCACTTTTAGAAACGTAATAAATTTTTCAAACCAAATTCTTGGATATTATCAAAAAGTCAGTCTTTACCGCTCACTTCGTTTTTCCGCGTTTATCATTTAATGTCCGCCTGAGGCAATAGTAATTAGTCTTTTAGTGAGATTGTCGACTACTGACTATCAACTTTTTCGACATTTTAATTCTGTATGTACGGATGTTATTTTTCGATTTCTTAACTAACGGTTTGGAAAATCACATCGTAAAAATCGATAAATTTCTACCGCGAAATCCCATAATTTTATACATCATTTTTTCTTAATGAAGTACGCAACATTTACTAATTAAATTGTGGACAATTCAACGTTTTTAAAATTATTGGAAATAGTATGTAGAAATAAGCTCAAAAATTGAAGCCAATGCAAATCTGCGACGCTTCAGCGATTCTTTATCTAGTGCTGATTTTATGTATTAATTCGTCAACATGTTATCTCTAATCGCTTAGTTATTTAGTTCAAACATAGGTCAATATTTTACTATTTCGATTGCAAGCTTTTAGTAGATTTATTATGTGAGCTATCTATATATTTGATCAAAGCAGAATGTTGAATTATAAATCTAATATTCTACGATCCAAGTTCCATCGCTATGTATTTAAACATTCGTTGCAATTGATCGTTATTTTCGTAATAATCAACCTTAATAATAGATTCTGAAATTACTCCCGAAAAATATGAAAAATAATTAAGAAAATTTAATAGGGACGAAGGTTGAGTCGATAGACAAGTTACTATTATTGTTCTTGATACAAGACATTACTAACCCGGTTTAATTATACATTGTGCTCCACATCCAGTTGAACAACAAATCTCGTGATCTTTGCAATCTTCATTTGAACATTCTGGGGGAATTTCCGGGCATCTACCCTCTGGATCGGCGGGTAGGTCACACTTCTCGTCAATAAGGCTTGTATCCGCTGTATATAATAAAAATAATTCAACCGTTTACTTTCACGCATAAATGATTATTTCACAGGATAAAAAGATTGTTATTTCTTGTTTGAGAAGTTGCAACACATAGTGTTGTTAGTGTTGTATATATAGGAAGGGATAATTTAAAAAACTGTAAAAGTTATGTATCTTCTTCTTTTATTTTAAATTTATACCAAAACAGCAAACACTGTAGAACAATCAATACCAATCCTAAACAGTTATAAAATATAAATATGTTACTAGGTTCGGAAGAGAATTTTTTTTATTCACCAAATTGGATGGTTTTTGATCAATATTGGATCTTCTCATTATTGCGGTGTCCAAATATTTGACGGTGAATTCTATATTTTTTTATACTGCGATCGTCATATGTAATATAAAAATTGATACTACCAGTGACCACAATTGGATATAAAACGATCATATATGTCTTACGTTCCTTGCAGTCGTCCCCCTTAAAGCCATAAGGACAATAACAGCTTCCAGAGTCATAACCGTAGCAAATTTCGTTTGACTCACACCCATCTGCAGAGGAGCATGAGTCTCCTAAATGTAGAATGAGATAAAATTAATCGATATTGGTATGCAGAGAATTTTTCATAGCTTTATTTAAATAGTCTGAGTTCAGAAAGTCATATGAAATCAACAAGTAGAACTAGGATAAAAATCTCCAATATGGAAATGGGCCTATTGGTCCGCAGTTGTAGGCTAAATGTTTGATGGGCTTTTGAAATTGGCAGAGAATATCTCATTTTAAACTGATCCTTATTCACAAATAGTAATAAAATTTAATTTATTTGGGAGAAAGCAAGATTAAAAAAAACAATACAAAATAACAATAAGCTACTTTTAAACGATTAATCACCAACCTGAACCAGTCTTTCCTTCTCCACTACCAGCTAACAAGCAAAGGACTAATATATAGAAATACTTATACATGGTGAAATATTTGCAAGGATCAAAACTGCACCGATATATCGACAAATATGAATTATTTGAACGTGAAATTGAACTTTTAATCTAGAACAATTTGCCCTCTGGTCAAGACAGTAAATTACTTTACCCGTATTATGACCAGTTTTTAAGTTGTTTCCTCGTCTTACATTTGTTTCATTGTCATCTACAACGAAATGCCCTTATCAATAACTCATGGGGTACCTAATTGGCAAACAAAATCTTTTTTGTATCAATTGTTGTACCATAGATAGAGTACAATATCATTTAATATTGGAGATTATAAAATGATATATTTTTGTTTGAGAATGATATATTGGGATGATGACATTAGAGCAACAAAAGTAATGAAACTTAGCTCGATCGGGAAGATAGATTATTTACTATTTAAAAACAAAAAAGCCTGTTTTTAATTAAACGATGTTCTGTTTCGAATCTTTTTGTTTATTTTTTTATTGAAATAATTATTGAAATATTTTATTAAATTCGACTCACACTTACATCGTTTTACTTTACGTGCAACTTTTGAACGAGACAAACTTGCCTTCTGGTCAAGACAGTAAATTGACCAGTTTTTTAAGTTGTTTTCTCGTTTTACATTAGCTTCATTGTCATCTACAACAAAACGCCTTTATCAATAACTCATGGGGTAACTAAGTGGCAAACAAAGCCTTTTTTGTATCAATTGTTGTGCTTTTGAGTACAATGTCATTTATTATTCGAAATTATGGCATGATATATTTAAATTGTGAATAATATATTGGGATAATGAGATGGAGCAACGAAATTAATGAAGCTTAGTTCGATCCTGGAGGTAGATTTTTCTTTTGTATTTTTGTTGAAATACCCTTCGCATCGCCGTCAAACTACAGCAAAATGGTTTTAGCGCCTGCACACGCTGAATGAATAAAAATTTTAAACATTAAAAAAAGATGTTTGCTTCGACTTACACTTCTATCGCTTTTTCGACAGGGCAGTATCTACACTACAGTCTTACAATAAATTTTGCCAGCAATATTTATCAGTGATATCGCAAAGGCGCATTGATTACAACACAAAGAACAATAATGTAATAATGACGAAATATAAACGGAGCCTGAAGTGTAGCATATTGCAACAGGAATAAATGAACTTAATTCTCATAACATTTTCTTTGTCTATATTTAATTGAAAGCCACAGCGTTTTGGTAGAACGCCAATGTTCGTGACGCATAAGTGCTCGTTTCGTTGTCTTCGTCAATATTAAATTTAGGAGAATAATCTTGACACTCTCCATCATGACCTGAAGGTCTTTGCGAGTCTTGACATGAGAATACACATTATTCAGTTCGATTTCCTCAACTAAATCGTCATTTCGGGCGCTCCCGTAATATGTGAACCAAGATGGCGGTCACCGGAACGTAGAATGTGTACCTGGTTAGGGCATAATTGTATTCCATTTCTCCGTATTTTAGTCATATCGCGAATTCGGCGAATAGCCCAGTGACTCCGGTAGTATTTGTACCTAAAATCATTGCCTAACCCTAACCTGGTACACATACTACGTTCCGGTGTCCGCCATCTTGGTTCACATACTACATGAGTACCCATTTTTTGTGTGAACGAATAAATTTCAACAAAAAAGCATGTTTTGATTTGCACAACCTAGAAGGCAATGAACGACTGACTTATGGGTGAGACGTGTTGAAAGTTGAAAAATAGTTCATGAGGTTGCATTGACGGCTGTACAATGCAGAGATCATAGCGATTAAAGAGCTTTTGGTAGAACAGACTTCCAAAGTGTGATAGGCAGATTGTATATACGTATGCATAAAAGTACGGCTTCCATATGATTCCATCAAAGCGTTCAATTTGGGAATTTCCGATTGGATGAAGCGACGATTGACTGGTGTCTACACCGTCTTTCAGCAAAAAATCTTTCAGTTCAGCATACATATAAAATTTTCCTCTTTTGGAGTGCATAAAACTAGGTAGTCTGCATAGAACAAATAACTTTTCAATGCAGCTTATTACTGAAGCTGGAGAAAGATTGATGCATAGAAATCTAGAATATTTATCGACGATGGTTAGCATGTATACATCATTTGTCCGCGATGACAGAGGTCCTTCGAAGTCCTTACTCAGTCTTTCAAATGGCTGTGTGGTTTTGATTAATGTGCCATACGGTGGTGAATAAAATTTCGCACACACGCGGCATATTTACAAGTTATTTTCACGTCATCAGTCGAGAAAGGCACATATTTCGATTTGACAAAATACAGTATCCTTGTGACGCCTGGGTGACATAAACTTCCGTGTAATTGCTTCAGTTAAGTAGGAAAATTGAGGCGCATGTAGAACGCGTTATGTGCAACATTTTTTGTCGGCGGGGCATAAATAAGTTATATAACCAATATCAGACATCTGACTGGGCCACGCAAAAAAAAATAGTTTTTCCACGTACACAACGAATTAAAAAAATCTGCCAAATGCAAGGTTTTATTGAGACATTTGAAAGTTCTAGTTCTTGCATTGTTCGTTAACATCAGCTTTGACAGACGTTGTAGCAACCACGAACTGACGAAATACATTTGAGATAACCCGAGCGTATAATGCGGCTATCGCTTAACCCTACACGGCTTACAGCCGGGATCACCAAACTACGATCGCGGCGTCATTTTATCCGGCCCGCGATAACACGCAAAAATGGCGAAATTTTTTCCAAGGGAAATTTTCCCGAGCATCGTCTTCCTTGTTTAATTCGTAACATTGGTCAATCAGCAAGATGCAAAAAAGTGACGTAATAATAGTCCGTTTCGCATCCGCTCATACACTTTTGTCATCCTGACAGATTTTCAGTTGTGGTTGGAATATAAACAATACTTCGTTTATGCAATTTTGAATGCTATTCGTTAGTTTTTGGTTGTGTTTGGGAAATTCAAGTATGAATTAAATCGGTCAATCATCATTTGCCTCCTCAGGAGTTGTAGTTTAAATAGTAGTCATGAAAAATTAGTCTAGAAATAGATGTGACAAAATAGGCTAAAATTCTCTACCGGCACGCAACGTTTTCTGCGAAAGGTGCACTCGTGGCGCGTGCTTTCGACGAAACTGTGAACGTCGCTAAAATGAACGTCGAATGTGAATGTTGGGCTAATAGTACTGTAATCCCTCGCGCCCTGCTCCAATTTCACAAGTCACACTAACTTTTGTACTGCTTAAATTCGGATATACGTATGTTACAAAAAAATCATTCGATTCGAATAAAAACTTCGCCAGTGGATAGATCTGAGTGGAATGAGAAAACAATATCAAGTTTTTAAAAACGGTCAAGAAAGGACGGAGATATCGGAATTTTAGTACCGCCCGACAGACCATTTTTTTCCATAAGGATTGTATCAGTCTTTTGATAAGAACTGTAATGAATATGAAAAAAGAACACATATCAATTACTAATCTTTCGATTTGCGTCACATCTATGGAATATTGAGACTATTTCAGGATTTTATTCTGGCAACGGCCTTGACACCACCGAAAGATCGTCGCAAACAAACGCTGGAGTTGTGCATGTTAGTTTGACCGTAAATATATACTACTACAGTAGTTCATTGTGGGTAATAATTAACGATGTTCTGATTGTACAAACTTCATAAAAAGTGGTAAGTATCAAGTTAGGAAAGAAATACACACGTCCACATATATTTTATTGGTGTCCATAAACAATATCATTAATTTGCACTACGTATAACTTGAGCGTAATTTTTAAAAGCTCCAAATGTTGGAAAATTTATGCGCTAATGAAAAAAATCAAATACCAGATAATAGTTGTTTATTTTATCTAAATTATGTCAAAATTTCACGGAATTCCATTCTACAACAGGCAGTCCGTAGTCGTTTTTATGAGCGGTTTTCCGACACGGCGTAACGGTACTTAGCAGACGTGATGCGTACAGCAATTCGGAGCTGAGCAATTTTAACTATTGAGGTAATTATATTCATAGAATGCATATTTCGCCCTATTATAGTACAGTTATTATATCTTTATTTTCGAAAGTGGTTCCGGAAGTGGCCAAAGTCGAGGGTCGCAGTTCTTCGACTCTAGATGCTTCATGGGTTAACGAATTACGTTGCGCCGGATCAAGAGATAATGCTTGAGTCGCTGTCCTCCAGAAGACGTTGTCGGATGTTATTTGACAAAATATGTTGTTGTTCTTTGACTTAGAATTAGTCCGGCAGAATCGGGCCTTAACATTGTTTTGGGACATAAAGTTTTTTTCATTGTTTAGATATAATGTATATGACATATATAATGATACCCAGGTTGGTGGGGAGTATATAATGTTGAGCAATTTTTTTAAGTGGATTTAAAGTATTCGGTCACAGTTTTGTTTTGACGGCGCTCGCGTGAGGACGTCTGACGGAGTCGGGAATTACTTCATAACGATACTACCCATATACTACAAGGAAAATTGTGAGTTGTATTTATTCCTATTTCTTATTGGGAAACTTAATATTTAAACCCATTTTATCGGCTGCGGCTGGTAAAGTTGGATATGTATGGAATCGAAGAACAAACAAATAAACGTCGGGGTGAGGATGAAATTGGGCCTTCAATCAAATTGAGAAATGTTGCATTAACTAAAACGACAGAAGCGGAAAGTCAACAATTCCGCGTTGTGATATCAGGTGTTGACCGTCCAATAAGGACATACAATCCTAATGCAGTTAATAAAGGGTTACGTGAACGAATCGGCGAATACAAAGTCGTGAAAGTTTTGGCTAGTGGAGAACTATTGATAGATTGTTGTGGCAAATCCCAAATGACGAAACTGATAAATTGTAAACAATTGGGTGACGCGAAAATTCCTATTAAAGCGGAAGAATATAAACAAACAAACGTTCAGCTCGAAAGGTGTATTTAGTGGAGTGCCGATTGACATATCTGACTCCGAGCTATTAAACTTTCTAAGCGATCAACACGTCATAAAGTCGCAGAGATTTAAGGGTACGAAAGACAAACAATACTTCATTAAATAATACTGAAACAACTCCAAGTTTATCCGTTCTGTTA